AATGGTTCAAATCCTAGGAAACCTTTTCCAAGAAAGTTGTGCTGTGAACAAGATAGCAGAGAAGAGAATGGTTAAAAAAGAGAGAAGGCAGTAAATGGACGTGTCTTTGGAAAACATTTTTCTCTCACCTCTAACTCAACTTTCTTGACATTATAGACATTTTCGATACGAATTCCAAACTTGCCTTCTTCATAATACCCAGGTTCTGAGTACAAGAACAGAATATTGCATTGAGTTGGCATTTTGACTTAAACTAAGAAAAGGAGACCGGGTTGTTTTAACCCGGCATTTGAACTACCCGGCCTTTTAACGAACCGGCCCTCTAACCCGGTTTTTCAACAACCCGACATTTTAACAATCGTAATTTTAAAAACCCGCCCCTGGTCTTTCACCTATTGTAATGTTCATTCCTTCTTCGAATGGTACTTCGTCTTCTCTTGCACGGAAGCTTATTCTCTGTGGACCTGAATTGAGTAAATATGACAATTCACAATTCATCAGTTCACACGTTGGACCACTCATACAAAATTGACTCTATTTTACCTTCGTGCACATTCAGGAACGCCCCGACACCGTGTCCTGTACCATGCTGAAAGTCTAGCCCAACATCCCATAATGCCTTACGACTTAGGATATCCATCCTGTGACCTGTCGTCTTGTTGGGGAATACCGCTGACGCCAAGGCCACGTGACCTTTAAAAACTCTTGTAAAACATTCCTAAATGATGAACTTAGGTTAAGCGATAGATTTTGAAGAAAGGAAAGTAAAAAGGGAGGGAGGGAAGATGGAAGAATTGAAGGAAATGAGGAAGGAAGGGAGGAAAAAATGAAACGAGGGAGGGAGGGAGAGAGGGAGAGAGGAAGGGAGGGAGGGAGGGAGGGAGGGAGGAATACATGATATAGACACCTGTTCATATCGAGTTGGTGTTCCAAAATGTACTGTACGAGTAACATCGGTTGTACCATCCCTAGAATGACAAAACAGTTAGAATAATTACACAACTTAAAGCTTTATTAATCCCTTTTTTATCGTCTGTACGTACTTGTACTGGGCGCCAGAGTCACACAAATACAGCGCGTTTCTTGAAATCATGCGATCTGTTTCTTTAGAGGACCTGTCAAAAATGAATAAGAGCTGCTTTGAGAAAACTATTATTTGTTAAAAACGCTTTAGTTATCTCGAATAAGTACTATGATAAAAGTAATCCTATGGTAGGCTTTTGTCTTCTAAGGAAAAATGGACGAATTGATGGATGAATGTAAAATTGGATAAACAAGTCAAAATATTTATTCTCAATAAAGTAATTATTATCTCACCGATAATGAATAATGGCTCCATTTGATCCAACACCGGATATAGTAGGGAAACTGAGACTTACAAAATCATCTTGATCCCTAGATGGACATCCATATAGATACAAAAGACATTTATTTGTTTACAAAAAACGTTCGTGAAGCAATCTCAAAAGCTTCATTGACATCAAGATAAAATTTCAGTTTGACAAAAGAAAATAATTTCCCCTAATTATAGTAAAGCCCTGAACTCATACCTACGCAACTCCTCTAGTTTATCAGATGCAGTGATTTCAGTTAATTCATCTTTTGGGACCTGGAAGATTAGAGGATTTTAATCAACTGCCTGATGATTAACCTGYCTYKTTTTATTGYYTAACAGTTTTGCTTATTTACCTCTTGCTCAAGCCAGCAGAAAAATTCGGTGAGAGCAACAGCATCACGAATCTGGACAAAACAACAGAGTTTACCATGATTACCAGTCACTGGAAACTATTACAATGTATGTAACCTTGGTGTTTAGTTCATTACACTTCTAAGAAAGTCTACCATGTCTAATACCATGAGTAAAAGTCTGGACTGCATTCAGCATGAACACTATGAACACCAATAGTACTTATGGATGCAAAACAATAAAACAAGATGAAATAAAACTACAAGATGCACTCACATGAGCCTGTCTCATGCCCTCTATTTCAGTGCTGTTTTTCAATGCTTTGAGGTAAGTGATAGGAGAGTTTTCAGTGATGAGATTTGCCTAGAAACGATAAAAATATCCATCACCAAATGTGCTGCACAGACTCCAACACTAGAGAACAAGGAAAACTGAGTACAATCCCCAAATGCAGCAAACACACAAGAAGTCCTGGTACCTCTGGAACAATTGAAGTCAGTGCAACACTTGACGTTTTGCTGATCTGTAAAATATCATGATGATAAACAATAAAACAATTTTAGAAAATAATAAAATACGAACTAAGATGTGACAATTATAACGATGTGACAATTATAACATATAGTTTAAGATGTAATATACCCATATTTTTCTATCATTTTCAACAAGTTGTTTAACAGAAGACTTTATATCACTGTATTCATGAATAATGAGGTCAACCCCATCTCCACCATCACCATTGATACTAAGGTGCTTTCTTGCAGAAACATCAAGTTTTGTTTCYTCAATGAATAAGCTGAGAAAGAAAAAWAATATTTGTTARATTCYAATAATCATACAAATGCAGRTAGCAAGAGTATATGATAATAGTCTTACCTGACGTTATCCATTGTCACTATTGRATATGCAAAGAAGACTGGATTATAGTCAATATCTGAACCTCGGAGGTTAAATAACCCTGTCAAAGATAATTATAAAATGAGA